TTATATACTACGACATCATAATCTTATTTCGTCAACAATAAAGTAAAAAATCTCCCTTATTGGTCTTGTACTTCTCGATATTCAAACTTCTAGGTGTAGAGTCGATGTCCGGGGCTGCGCCCCGGACCTTGACTTACTCAAACTCTGTTAGGTGGGTCCTACTCTTTTTTCGCTCATTAGTGAAGGTGACCAGAGTCGTGGCTCTATGTATCTAAACTATGAGCATCTGTAGTTGAATTTTCCATTTATAAGAGGCACCTTACAAGGAGAGATATCAAATGCTTTAATAAAATGATCAGCCAGTGCAGCAAATTGCAAGAACAGCGACGCGGTGACGCAAGACCGCGCAAGCGCACTCACATTCACTGTTTAACATTCAAAACACTGAGAACTTTCCAGTAGCTACGCTGGTCTCGGTAGCAGTTGTCAACGTGGATATGGAAGACGACGGTGACGAAGAAGATAAATTGGGAAAGTAAGGTTTTTCAAAATTATCTTAACATCATGCGAATTACCTACTTCAGGGATCTAATTATCATCTTAAGTAATTTGAATATGTATTATTATGTAATGTATTATTTTTTCAGGTCGAAAAAACAGGCAGAGGCTTTAGCTGAGAGTGCTTGCCGAAGCGCGGCAGAAAACAGTGGGGTCAGATCAGCCAGCGATACGTGAGTATGACCACTCAGAATTCAGCTAATGTTCAAGGATGAAGAACAGGCAGTGACCGAGTGCTCTAGATGCAAAAGAGAACTGCTACAATACAAAGTGTCTTATGAGCCCACTTTGATTGCTAATAACTGTTTTATGTCAGACCTTCTGTCTAGTAAATTTTAGACATCTAGCAACTTAGTTTTGCTTGAAGATCGAATCCTGCAATTCTCTTTCAGCTACGGTACGTAACTTGGAAACTCATTGTTGGCTTAAGCGCACGCGAGAAGAGCTATTGGCTTTACTACTCCAAAAATTTTCTGGCCGGTTTTTTTTATGCACTAAGCTCAATTATGGTACCCATTTAGTACAGCAGAGTGTAACACTCACGATTTACGCTCATCACACAATAAAGTCGCCTATTTTTGCCTAATTCTACTGTTATCATAAGGTGGAGGATTCGTTTATGAGTGGAGATCGAAGTTCAAACTTCTCCAGATTGAACTATTAAAGCAAAGGAAGTGGAAATTAAGGAGCTATTCGCAATAAGGCGTAGACCCAATTGTTGGGATTAATTACGGCAAGAAATTTTGCGAATTACAATTTGGTATAGTGTGCTTGATTTTGTACGAGGTAGATCCCATCATGGGTACACAACCTCGATTGTCACTTTTATAAATATATCAAAAAAATGTCTTACTTTTATGGCGCTAGAATTATGTGTGTCTAGCTCTTAACTCTGATTTGCCCTAATTCTTCAACACTATAAAAACCCTTCCCCTCCTACCCCGCTCAAAAATGTAATTGTTTGGTTGAGCTGTGCACCAAACTCTAGCAAGGTTTTGCATAATTGGAAATACGAAGGCATATAAACGGGGCAATCTAAAGTTCTACACACACTTATTATAAATTAGATATTAGACATGCAGTCGATACGAGGACCTCGTTCCTCTCCTGTGAAAGCACAACATTCGTGATATGGCGGCAGAGCACGGTAATTCCGACTCAGAAGCAAAGTGATTGTTTCCTGTTTGTTCTTTCTTTTTCTTCCGGATTTCTCTCCGTTGTCACACTCTTTCATCCGTTTCCACGGCTAATATGGTTTGCGGCTTCTTAGCAATGGCATCACGCTGTATTAAATCACACCAGTAAAATTATATTCAAATTGTAATTGTTCATCGTATTTTTTATAAAACAGTTGTTCCTTCTTTCAGTGCCAATATCTAAAAGCCACACCCAGTCAACGAGATACTCGATAAGTCCTTTCTGCCAATGAGATTTCATACTCACCTGAAATCAGTTGCGAAAAGATGAACACCTAACCAGAAAATGTAGATGAAAAGCGCACGATTTTTATAAGGAAGAATTAAGACTACAACTAGGAAAGAACAAAGAAGAAGCAAGAAATATACTCACTTTCTCATATGTAGTGGTCGAACTTAATTCTGCCGCCAACTCCAGA